GGTTTCTGGACCCTGAATCCCCCTCATCCCGAAAACATCATCTCTAATTCCAAGGCCCTTCACACCCAAAGACGGTGCCTCTGTGGGAATCGGCATGGGCTCTCGTGTCGGAGGCTCTCTGGTTGGCGCACCTGGCACACGAAGCCCTAATGTAGGGGCCTTCTTGATTGGAATAGGGTTTGGAGTACATTACACTGGTATACTTACAATAAGGAACCCCCAAAGATAGTATAGGTAATTATTGAGGCCCCCAATAGCAAACCCCTTCTTTGAAAAGGTTATACAAGTTACGAAACTGTAAAAAAATGGATCCCCCATGTAGGCCGCCTGAAAACTTGAGACGGGGAGTGACGGGGAGTTTCGGGTGGGTGCCGTGATACAAACAACTAGGGAGTGTAAAAGGGAATATGGTGAGGACTTTAGAAAGGGACTCTAAAAGGGGAAATTATGAAGACTTTAGAAAGGGGCTATGAATGGGAATGTTGTGAACAAGCTAGAAAGTACTATAAGATTGATTATTGTGTGGGCTTTAGAATGACTTTGGCAAGGGACTCTCGAATGAAATATTATGAAGAGTTTTGACGCCGAGATTACATCGCCGTCTGTTAATGCAGTCGTTCGGCCCCTGTCTACATGCCAGACGCTTGCGTAAGGATTGGGGCTTGATGCCTATCGTCCACCGAAGCACCTACAAGAGAGCTTCCTGAGCAAACCTGTGCCTGAGGAGACTGACGATTTCTGCCAAAACCACGAGATCCGGTTGACGGTATACTTGCATCAGCGGATCAGAAATCGGACTGCGGGCAGAGAGAATAGAACGGAACGCCTCGCTACTAACTACAACGTCTCAAATGTGTGACCTCAAGAACGAATGTAATGTTGCAGAATGCTGTTAACTACCACCACCGAGATCACAAGCGCTGCTACCTTTCGTGTTTGCTATGGGTCTCATCTTGCAACTTGATAAAATCGCAACCCTCCTAACCCCTGCGCCCTATGTCTAAAACCCCCAGCCCCAACCCCGAACCTTTTCGAGCTCCTGGCAAAGCCCACCCAAACCCCGAAGATGCTGTAACTCCTCGTCTCCCTAGTACTTTCTATCAAACCCCCAACCCTATCCCCGAGACAACTACTACAAACCCTCTTCATCTTACTCTTAGTACATAAACAAGCACTTCAGAGCCCAGGTACCAGTGTCGGCGGCTCGCGTGTTGGTGGCTCTCGTGTCCGCGCTGTGGCAGGAACGGCCTGGGCAAACAGTCGATGGGGCCGGGGGATTCATGGTGTTTCTAAAACGCCTGATGCGCATTTAGATGGCTTGGACACCAGCATGTGTTAAAGGGATTTATTCCTAGAACTCCATCATAGTTTTCGGGGATTTTAACATTGCAGAGGGGCTCAGCCATGTTCTTTGCTGAGGCTTGAAGTCTAGGAGGTTGTGGTTTAGTGTCTGGCTTCAGAAATCCTTACACACCAAAATGACCTCGGTGTCGGTTCCAGGACTCTAAATGCTGCCGTCCCGAATCCTAAAACTAAATCCGAAACCCTAGAACCCAACGCAATCTGTGGAGGGCTTGAAATACTGAATCATATGGCTACGGTAGCCCAGAAACCGGGAACCACTCCCCAGCCGCACAGAAATATGAGGCTTCGACTTCAAGGCTCAGAGTTTAGGGGTTCAGGGTTTAGGGTCCTGGTCCAAGGCTCTGGGTTTCGGGGTGTGCAGTTTAGAGCCTAAGGCACAAAAGAAGAGAGCTTTAGACTCCCTTTATCGGGACGAGTTTGTGCGAAACTTGGTGACTGCCTAAAGAGTACAAGCTTTCTGTTTAGGTGTTGAGATGATACGGTCTAAGGGTTCGGGGTTTAGGATGTTAAACCTAAAGCCTTCAACCAATCCAGGCAAGGAAACCTCTAACACAACGATGCTTCGAAACACTGCAAGACAAGGCCTTCGGACCTTATTCTCATGCGAGAATCCAACAATGGAACCTATAACCCGTTCATCCTAACCACATCCTATCAACTAGCGGCAGACACCTAAACCCTAAATGCAGGGAGTAAAGATCCAAACGACCCCCCCGCTTGATGTCCGAGGCTGCGTCGGCAGTCCTCCTGTGTTGATTGTCGGCCGTGGTTTTAGGGGTTTAGCAACTCTGATTACGGTGTGTTGGGCTCAGGGCCCGAAGGATGTCAGGATTCGGGGCTTCACGGGGCTTCAGGGCCTAGGCCAAAGAACCCTGATTCAAGCCCTCCATTTGTCAGACGGTGCCTCAAGCAGATGTGTTGGCAACGACCTGGGGACCAGGGTTTAGGTTTGCAGTTTCGGGTTTATGGTTTAGAAGGCTTCTTTCGTGTCTGTGGGTGTGTGTGTGTGTGTGTGCGCGTGTTTGCCTGGTTTGGTGTTGCCGTTTGTGGTTTTCAATGCTGCGCTGGCTTTGGATTCTTGGTTTTGGGAGAAGAAGTTTACGGTGTAGGATTTTACAGTGCTTGTCGTCTAGGTTCAAGGTTCAGGGTTCAGAGTTTGGAGAAAAATGAAGTTAGGGTAAGGGTCTATATTGGGGTCCCTTGCTGCCCGCACAAAACCGATCGGATTCGGGCTTGAGCTAGGGTGCAGCCGATAGGAGCACGACAGCGAAGGACTGCTTCAGGATTCAGGGATTGGAAAGTTAATAGGGTTTTAGGAGTTGAGCAGCATCAGAACACCATCGTTCTCATCGCAACAGCGTTGGTTCCGGTTGCATAGGAACCGGGCTCAAGTTCCAGAGGTATTGATCGCAAAACAAACAAGGGGCTCATGCTGCAGGGTTCTTGGTCTATAGGGTTTAGGGCTTTGGGTAAATCGGGATTTCGAGTAGTAGGGCACTTTCGAGTACTCAAAACTTGGAGCCTGCAAAAAAACTATGTCATCTGCGGCTGTAGAACCTTCAATCGCAAGATTAGCACACTACGCGTGCCTCTTCCTCTTCAAGGAACCTACTCAATCACAACTTTAAGGAGTTATCAGAACTCAGAGCCACTCGTTGGGGCCTCTGCCGCCCAAACACCCCAAAACCTTCAACTTCAAACACTGGGAGCTCTAAGGCAGCAATGAAGCCGTTCTCGAAAAACTGATGAGCGCCCCCTAAAACACGCTGACATCCCTCGCAAAGCGCTTCAAAATTTCCAAATCCTAACAAAATCCGGCAAAAGCCTGCACTAAACTAAACACAACTGAACCGCAAGAAACCTCTGACAGCCCTGAAACCCCTGGAGAAGCTCAGAAGTCCACAAGCCATCGTCAGAGAGGGCCCTGCACGAAGGCTGTGAAGGCTATCCCTCTCTGTGCCTCTCCATGTTTGACAGTTCCTCTTGGCTTGTCGCATACAACTAAGCACACAAGAGCTTTCAATGTTTTGGCTAGGCTTTGTAAGTGCATTTGGCATCTCGCAGGTGTTAGTTCTTGTTGTTGCTGCTGTTCTTCCTCATCCTGCCAATGGCAAAACTATCGCTGTTGCAACAGCCTGCTGGTCGTCAGCGACGTCGGCATAGCCGTCATCGTCGACATCGCTTTCAGCATCAGCATCACCATCGTCATCATGACGATACCATCGTCATCACCATCATCATCGTTGTCGTACCAGCGTAACCTCTCCTTTCACTGTCCTTCGAACCGCCGACGCATCGTCGTCGTACGCCGCCCTGCTGACTGCCAGCGAAAATGATGTCAGCAGTGTCTGGCCTCTGTTGTACAATGACCCTGATTCATTGTGAATTCTAGTGTATGGACATCTGCCGCGTATGGACTGGTCCGGGCCCCGGAGCCTCCGCTTCACTCCAGATTACGATGAGATCTCAGTGCCCGGCTTGATGAAGGATTGACAGCTGCTTCGACTTGAGCTTCCTGGGTCGATTTTCATTCCGACATTGGCGACACAAGCTTCCCCGAGAGAAGAGAGAAGTGCGGAGTTCGAAGCATCTTGGTTGTCCTCTTCACCAGTCGCCTTGCCAGCATTTTCTAGAGATCTGAGACAGGGCACTGTGCCGAATAGGGACGCCGTGCTTGAGGAGCCTGAAGGCTGGACCTTGTCCAGAGAAAACAGCAACGACAGGTCATTGTGCAGCCGTCACGTATCGTTGCCGAGAAGACAGATCGGTATTTGTGGCCAACCTTTCACAAGTCGTGACATCGCCCAAACTCGGGGACCCCAAGAGCCATCAACATGGCCTCCTGCCCAAAAGCGAGTACAGGGCACCACCAGGGCTAACAGCATAAATTGAGGAAACACGTCCAACATCGAGAATTGGACACCATCAGGCTCAACCGCAAAACTTAGGAAACACGCCCAAAATGGTGTACCGGATACAACGAGGTCTACTCGCAATAGTTCAGGAAACACGTCCAACATCGAGCAATTGACACCGCAAAAAATTCAGGAAACACGCCACCACGAGGTCTAACCACAACAATCCAGGAAAGATACCAACACCGAGTATTGGACACCACCAGGCCTAACCGACAAAAACTCACGACACACATCCAAAGTCGAGTACCGGACATCAGGAAGTCTAACCGCAAAACTGGAGAAGCTCGTGCAAAAGCGAATACCGGACACCACAGGGTCTAACCATCAGAATGGGAGTAAACGAAGCATGTCAAAAACCAATTACCGGACACCACGAGGTGAAACCACAACAATTGACCAAACACGTCCGGGATCAACCGCCTGACTAATCACAATAACTGACGAACCACGTCCGAAATCAGGCACTGGACACCACGAAGCCTCACGACAATACTGACACGAGGTTTGCCCGCCCGTCCCATGCCGGCACTTGCCTGCAGTTCTGAATGCGCATCTGTGTTGCCCTCCTTGCGTGGGGAAGGCTACGTTGCTTCTTCAGCTGGGACCCGACAACATCTGGGTGCTGATGCAACAAGTCGATCACTCTTTTTGTTCGGTGGCATGAGCTTCGCCTGAACTATCTTCATGACTCCTCGCATCTCTTTGATGCTCGTACTGCTACTCTATGACTGCGTCCGCCCGTTCGTAAGGCACTCCGCCCAAGAACAGCGACAGCTTCACCCCAACAGCGTCGCATTCCCTCAGCAAATCCTTGAAATCCTGCAACATGACAACCTCAGCAACATGATCTTTGATGTAGAATAAGCAAGCAGTTTCGAGTCGCTTGGCTTCGCACAACCTAGCTTGAGCGAGTATGCTGCACACGCCGGACACGGTGAGTTCTTTGCAAAGCTGCAGTTCACAAAATAGCTGGAGCTTGGTGACTCCATACTTATGGCTGACAGCAAGCAACTGCTGCGTCATCGCAACTCGCGAGCTGCCTTCCGGACTGTCCGCTGCATGTAACGAGACCTCAAATAACGTTGCTTGCACCTTCGCCATGTCATCGCTGTACAAGAAGTGCAAGAATGTTCTGAAAGCTACTGCGCTGCAATCTTGAATGAAAATGACCCTTGAGATCGATTCTTGCAAGCCGCTCCTGAACAGAGTTCCAAAATACGTTGCTCTTGCGCACAGAATTTGTGAATGGGCGTGGATGACCTCCTCCTGCACGTGGAACTCCACATCGCAGCAACGGCCGCTTTCCCATAACGCTTGCATGTCGCAGGAAAGTGTATTTTCCTGCACTTCCAAAACCTGGCAGAGGGATTGGCGCACAGTGTCTGGAGGCCCGTGCGGGCGGACTTCCAGAGCAAACTTGGCAGTCAGAGCATCGTCCTCAACCCACTCTGATTCCAGCAATTCTTCGTGGGTGAGGCCAAAGATACCCACGGCAGCATCAGAACCCTCCACATGAACAGCATGAACATCCGGCCCATAGGTCCGATAGCTTGGGTCATCATGGATGACGTCGCCACGCTTGCCCCACTGAACAAAGGCGCCAGAGCGTGCCTTTACGTAGACCTTGTATCGAAAAGCCACGCGCCCGCCAGTGCAAACCAAGGCGAGGGACCCCGTTCGTCCACTTGGATCATACACAAAAAAGAAAGTCTCTTGACCCACAAGCAATTGATCTGACTCCAACCGGTCTTGGCGAGATTGCCGAAGGGCACTCCGCACCCACAAAAATCCGTCTATCCGCCAATTGAACTCGCATTCGGTGACGAGCTTCCTGAAGTTGATGTTCTCTGATCCGCAAGCCGGTGCCAATTGTCTTACTGGAGCCTCTTCAGGCCTCCTACCCAACAAGTCTGCGTCGATCCCCTTTCTCCATTCAATCTCGGCGATGTTGACAGCTTCCTGTGCGGCCAAAATCTTCTGCTGTTCAGCAAGCTCCAGCCGGAGCTGCTGCCTTTCCTCAGCCTCCCGGCTCTCGGACATGAGAGCCTGGCCCCTCGTCTCAGCTTCTCGCACCTGCTGCTCTGTAGCTTCGATCTCGGCACGCAGGCCTTCAGCTGTCACGGCCATGGCCGGTGGAAGAAACCACGGTTAAGGGCTTTAAGGGATTTACGGAGCTACTTGAACATGATTCCAAGTGGGTTGTTGCATTCTGCATCAACTTCGTGTTGGCTCGTGGTCAAGCCGAAGTGATTCCATCATGTATCTGTCGCTCACAACAGGCACCGGCTCTATCAACTGAAGCAGCTGCAGAAGCGGAAGGATAAAGGCACACTACCGCAAGTCGGATTCCCGAGCCACTAAGCTCTCAGCCAAGATTGCGCTCGTCACCCTCAAGCAAAATACTCTTGTCAAGCACACTTGAAATCATAATCTTACTGGCACCTTGTCAAACACGGTGAAACACGCACGGCGCGCCGTCCTGGTCCAAAGCCGTCGTCTGTGGCCAAGCCACACACGTGCCTCACGAGTTTATACGGGTGCCCTGGTGGCCATTAAGATTCTGGGGTTTGAGACATAGGGGTTACCTCTGCTTCCAGACTTCCTGTCATCATTGGTTTACAGACTTACAAATGAGGGTTTAACGGAAGGCTTAGTGTTCCCCAACGCGAAACTCGTCATGTAGTAAAAACAATTAAAACAATTGAGTTCCGGCTGGGGCCCTTTAATCCTGGCACATGAGCCAGCATCTGTCAGCAAGGACGTCAGTTGTTTCTTGTTGTTGCCTGGCTTTTTTGGGCTAGCTCAGTGTCTTGCGGGTAGAGGGCTGGGATGTGCAATCTCTGGCTTTCAACAAGACCCAAGCTCTGAACGCTTTGAGCTGAAGGAGCTGAAGCAAACAGTTGCATTAAACGAGCCGCATCCCAGTGGAAGCTGCCACTCTCCTTTGAGTTGTGTGAGCTTATGCGCGGGGTGCTGGGTTCCAAGTTCAAGTTGCCCCATTTGGATGCAAAGCTTTTGAGGCATCAGGCTCAGTCCCGAAAGAGCGAAATCGCTGCACCCCAAAGCGCATGTCTAAGCTTGAACCCCTACCCCGTCAACTTATAAGCGTGATCTGCAAAACTTCACCCATCAGAAGGTTTCACGGCAGGTTTTGTTCAATGGAACAAGCTTCAAACAAAACCCAATGCTGTGTGATAGCCTTGCGGCTGAGCTGTAGGATTGGGGGGTTTCTGCGAGGCGAGACTCACGTTGAAGGGGTTGATGGCACATTTGACAAGCAGGGATTGGCGGGTTTATATTCAGGATTGATGGGGTCAGGTAGCGGGGCTGTCAGATTTGAGAACTGCTTTGGGGAGCTAGGTTCAGAGTTTGGCAAATCGGAAACCTATCGCATCCTGTTAGGAGTTGGGCTTGGGTAGAAGCTGTGGCATCCAGAACATGCGACAAATTCAAGCTGCAGGGATGAACATGGGGGCCAAGAATGGCCCTCTCTCGGGGTTTCACAATATCGGGCAGCACTTCATGTCATAAGGTCTAGGAGAAATATCTCATACCTAAGGATATGGAACTGCTGCTTGATTTCGCAACAGAAGTTTCTCGAGGTGTGGCTTCATCCCCGTGCAACGGAATGTTGGTGTGTTCGCGGCATCAGCGTCCGGCCTGAAAATCGAAACGATTCGCCCAGCGAATCACGCATCCCAAACTCGCCCGAGCCGCTGGGACGCCGGATCCATTGTGTCACCCGGCATGGCGAACAAGGTCGGAGAAAAGTTACGGGTGCAGGGGTGCGCATGAGACCAATGTTCCAGAATACTTTCAAGTCTAGGCTGTGAGGCTTGATTCTTGAGACAAACAAAGATGTACGTCGTCGAAGTCATGCAGTTTTCTAGGGTGTAGGACGGAGATGCTATCATCTTGAGTCATCATAGATACGATTCCTGAATCATGAATCTAACACGTGTTTGGGCGTGAATGCCCAAGCCATCACGGCTTTGTTTCGGCGGCACAAATGCTGAAGACTTTCCAACCGCGAATGTGCTTGTAACATCCAACGATGACCAACTAGGATAGCAGCCCAAGATAAGAGGTGGCCTTCCATCACCAGTTTTTTCTTCAGCGATGGCGGCGCTTTCCTGTTGCTGAGTGGCCACCTGCATGGGAAGCAGCATGGAGCATCAAGCCATCGATGTGCGAAGAGCACTGTAGATTCCAAGGATTTGTCCCACGGTCAAGAGCACGTTGATGAGTACGCTGGGCAAGCTGACTACGAAGGTCGCAAACTGTCACGCTGGTTCAGCACCCATCCCATGAGTGGTGGGCCTGCATTCCCTCGAGCACGCTTGAGAAATGCACCGACACTTACTCGAATGTCGAAACTGGCTATCGCCTCACATCTGAAGGCGTGGAGGTCCCAATAATATTCTGCGAATTTGTCTCTTGGATCATCATCTGCTTGCCAAAGGAGCTCTATGTGATGCAACAACGATTTCTGTTGCTGCTTCGAGTCTTTGGCCATTACCAGCAGCTTCACCAGCACGGCCATCCAGTCTCGCTGCTGAGGTCTGTCCAAGAGGCGGATACTGATGATACCGCGAAGCTGGCACAAAATGCCGTCCTTTCGAACCCAGCTGCGTGATTCGCATGAACCTGCTTCAAGTTGCAGGAGATGCAGTAGACCTGATGCGACGGCCGCCCGCACATGCTTCGAAGGTCCACATGAGAAAACGTCCAAAGCCGTGAAGCCCGCTTTGCATACCTCCTCGTCATTACTTGCACAATGATGCAAGAGATCCTGGAGCACGGCGTCCACCGTCCGCTTGACATGCGCTTCGGAAAAAAAAGACCAGGATGCGAAGCTTTGCATCAGGCGCCAACACTGACCTCAGATTGGGTTCGATTCCCGGTAAACTTCAAGTTGGAAGCTAAAGGAACAACTTCTGCCATGCCAAGGCGCAAAAGAATGTTTTGCCTGCGTACAGGTCGGCGTCAAACCGAGCCAGCACGAACTGCCTCACACCTACTGGTTCGGCTCGCCGGGCGTGGTTGAATTCACGGAGAAGGTCTGCGCATTCAACCATGGAGGATGGCCTGACAAACATGCTATGGAGCTGTGCGGTGGTGAGCGCGCACGGTTCCCAAGAAGAAACAGCCATGTCGTCCAGCCAAGCGGCATAACCCTTGCTGTAATGTCGGGCTGTGTTAAATGACACGTTGCCTATGAAAGGGCCGTCTGTTACCAAAATGCTTCGAACGCTGATTGCTGTTTGTACCCTGTAGTTTTCGAAAGCAAAGAAGCAAAGAACTCTTGAACAATTCTTGGGTACACTTTGGCAAATCCACAACTCAACATATCTCGGTGGCCGTGGTCAAACGCCACGAATCCTGATACACCCAGCAAAAACCCTGCAAAGCTGCTGAATCCCATCTCCAGGCACCGGCTCAAGCTACCCATTTCGGTAATGTGGTGCAGGAAAGCCTGGCAGATGCAAGCCCAGCCGTACACCTACAGCGTGCATGTGATGAGAGCTGTATGCGCGGGGAGCTTGCAAGCTTGCAACACAATGCTCAAACGCGGTGAGCTCCGACTGCAAAATTTACAACTATCAATTTGAGATTTGACCGTCAACACAATATGGATGTAGCCATGGTTTGCAGCACTAGGCACTGATAAGCACTCACCTCCAAAATACCGAAACCCTGGAGCCCACGGCCTTTATCCCAAAGTCGCCCCACACACTTGACGGCTTGAAAGGTGCCAGCGTGCGTCAATGTATGCTGTATGCCGGCGTCCTCTGGGGTCATTGGCCGACGGTTTCAGCGGCCAGCCTCGGAGTTCTCGGCGGCACGCCGGAACGTCGCCCGCCAGCTCAGCATCTCTGGCACCTGTAAATGTGCCCAGTAATTTCCCAGCAGCAAGGCACCCGTCCCTGCAAAACATATTCCAAGGAGGGCACGCCCAGGCACTCCAGCAAAACGGGCCTCAGCTCCATATGACAATGCGTGCGGCAGCCCCGATGGCGACGGCGTCCCAGAAAACAGGCCGAGAGACTGTGTGAGTGCATTCCAGTCGCAATCAAAGCACACCTCCTGCATAGGACTACCACAGAAAGAAGGGAAAGGAGCTTGCAAAGGCAAATGTGCTGGCCTCCTGAACCTCCGTCAATGCTAGTGGGCCATTTGCCAAGAAGTTACGTCGTTGGAACTCCGACGCAAAAACGCTTTCTGCCTGGTTCGGCTCGACTGTCACGGCATCGACCGCAACTGCTACCTGCGGCAAGGCACGCCAAGAAGCGATGCTCCCAGGGCACAGCAGATCACAGCTTCAAATCCAACCCGCCTACATCAAGCACATTTAGAGAGCTGCGAGAGAAGTGGGTGAGCGAACCGGTGAGCATCCAAGACGTGATTCGGAACTCGGCTGTGACTGCAACAACCAAGCTGGAGCTGCACTCAAGGAACCTATGGAGATGGGAGAGTACAGGAGAGTTCGGCTCCAAAAGGGCTCGGGACGAGCATGGATTGACACTTGCATAGGAGAACAACCCATACTCGCGGCCTCTGGTATGAGCTTGACAACAGCTGGACGTGGTTGTCCACCCCTGGCCTCGGCTCTTTGTGGGTGGGTCCAGCAGCTCTGGTCGTACTCATCTTCGATAGCCGAGCCCTCGAGCCTGACAACATGATCAATTTTGTGTGGTCATGCCGAAGCAGGGAAGCCGGGTTGCCTCTGGCCGGAATGGTGTATGTCCAAAGACTCCTGGGTGACTCTTCAGAAGGCAAGAGTTGTGCGAATACATATCCATGCCATATTTAATGTAAGTTTAGATATGCAGGAACCGGTCAGGGACCTGGTACCTTGGTGGCGGTCGGACCCAAGAGTAATCGAGGGAGCCGCGGCAAAAGACCATTCAAAGCAACGGGCAGAGCACATCAAGATGCCAAAAAGCCTGCAAACGAAAAGTGGACGGCTATAGACCGAGACGGGCGCAAGTAGGCAGCAATGACAAAGCCACGCCAAAGCGCTGTTTAGTGGAAAACCCCAAAGATCAGTGCCACGACTGAGGCATCAGCAACATTATTTGAGATGCCGGGCACATGATCAAGTTGGGGCTGAGCAACAGCTGCCCTGACTGGATGTGGTGCGTCTGTGCACCGAAATGGCACGGTTGTGGCACTCAACACAAACGTGATTGAATTAGAAGTGCCTGTCTTTCGCTATGTATTCGCTTAAAGCCAGTCGTGTATAGGGCTAGTATTGCCTAGAAGATCCAACATCCGGCTTCAGGATAGCTAGTTTTACTACACCATGTGTTGTGGCATCATGGTAGATCCGCCGACCCTGACAGCGTGCTGGATGGGTTGGGAGTGAACCTCCCTTTTTCCCTCCTTCACACCCCAAATCCCGCGCATGGGTTGACTGCTCCGGCTAGTTCCCCGCCCTCCTACTACGACCACGACGACGACTACTTCATGCTACGACATGTAGACTACAGACTATTACTACTACGACTAGTACAACAACTACGACTACTCTGCTACTACTACTGCGACTACGACTACGACTACGACTACGACTACGACTACGACTACGACTACGACTACGACTACGACTACGACTACTACTACTACTACTACTACTACTACTACTACTACTACTACTACTAGTACAGCAACTACGACTACGACTACTACTTCTGCAGGCTGCTACATTGCTACATACGACAACGACACCAGACCCTAACGTCCTTTCCTCTGACTCCTGCGGGGTCGGTGGCTTGAGCCGGAGGCTCTTAAATTCAAACACATTTTCTTCTGCAAAGCCAATACCGTAAATATAACTTATAACAGGTTGTCAAGACGTGCCAATCCAAGTGGCAATGACAGGCCAATTGTGTTCTCCTACAAAAAGCAAACGAATGCATCAAACACTTCTTCGATGTCTTTCAGTCACAAGTAGATACTGTCTATCTGATTTTAGTCCAGCTCGACTTCTGTCTCCGGTACTTAAACAACACTAAACTCACAAAGGACACCTCGTCATCCAAGTCCATGCGGTAGGTGTGAATCTTGGCCTGGCGATGCTACAACCGTAGCAGAAGCATGTAGCTGCTACATATCCTCGCCTGGCGCCTGCGTCGCTGCTGCCTTTCCAGCAAACCTGCATCACGTTGCGCTATGCTTCAGTCAATGTAGATTACGATGAGATTTCAGTGCCCGGCTTGACGAAGGATTGACAGCTGCTTCGACTTGAGTTTCCTAGGGGGATGGTCTTTCCGACGCTCGCGACACAAGCATCTCCGAGGCAAATGCAGAGTTGGAAGCATCCTGGCTTTCCTCCTTATCCTTCACGAAAGCGGCCTCGGCCTTGCCAGCATTTTCTGGAGATCTGAACTCTGACGGCAAGGGGCACTGTGCCCGCTGAGGATGCCACGCTTCCGCAGCTTGAAGGCTTGACCTCATCGAAACAGCAACATGTGCGACCGCCATCTATCATTGCAGTGAACTGGCGTAACTCCGTCGAACAGATCGGTAGCAGAGGCTCTGGCCAACTTCTCTGGAGTTTCAGCGTCGTCCTGTGCCGTGACATGGGGACCCAAAGACTTATACAAAGAGCTATCAACAGACTCTGCAAGCACTCCTGCGGTTTGTGGTGCCGCCGAGGCGTGCAGGGGAAGTCCTGCCAAGCTTGCTTTGTCCGGGGAAAACGCAATGCCGGCCAGCGACTATGGAAGGGCAGAACGGCAGAATAATTGCCTTTCTCGGATATCCCCTCATCATTCCCAAAGCATTGGCTCGCAACTTGTTGGTGCACAGGTCACCTCTTCCATCACGAGCACCTGCCAAGCTGGCACCTTCTTCCTGCTCAGACCCTGAAGCCACTCTGAGACAAAGGCCGGATTGACAGTGTCCATGTTTTCGCCGTTCACGCTTGCGGCCTCTGTATTGCCAGATAGCATGCCATGCGCTTTCGGGAGCTGCCGAATAAGTCTGATGCCAGGCTTGCAACAGGTTCGGCATCAACGCCATAAGACCGAATGCAACCGAACAAAAAACCGCACAAGGCCCCCACCAACTTCTCGGGAGTTTCCACCTCCTGCAGGGACGGCGGGTGCAAGCAGGGAGCCTTTCACCAAACCTTGGCACTGCTCCTGTGTTTTGCTGCGCCACGGCAAAGTGCCTGGGACATCCTGCCAAACATCTAGCAGAGGGAAGAGCGAAAGGTGATCTTTGGTGAGATTTCGTGCGTCCTTTTCAGCAGGACTCCCCGACGACACCTCCAAAATTAACAGGAGAGTGACTGGACCCGTGAAGCAACGGTCAGGGTGACGTGCGCCGACCCAAGTACCACCACTCAGCAGTTTTGCTTGACTCCAATCAGAGCCGAAGCAGCACGACAATTTGTGCTCTGGGTGTTCTCCCCTCTCCCTATCAACCCTACACCCCTGAGTGCCGGCCCTGAGTTTGTAACAAAAACGCCGGGCACGTCGCAAGATGCAAGTCTTAGCAGCCTCAGCACGGATGAGGTGCGTGAGATCCCGCAAGAGGTCTGCACGAAAGCGTTGCCATTCCTGTCAGTCACTACCCCTCACTCTTGAACCGGCTCTCAACATCTGCGACAACAACTACAGCCGTCAGACTCCTGAAGCAGCTCCTCCTTCACGGCTTGCGATGCCTCATTTGAGGCCGAATGTTTTCGACATCTCTCTGCATGACAAGCGGATCTCCCGAAGGTCCAAGGTCAGCACGGCCTGTGTGAAACGCTCCATCACGGCCAGGTCCATGCTGTCACTGGACTTTGTCAGAGCCTTCGGGCAGAGCTGCAAGCCATGAGACAATGAGGACCTGTTGCTTTGGGATACTTGCTGGCAGGGAATTTGAAGCCTGCCTCCTTGCGCCAGAAGGCTTGCCACATGGCGTGGCTGCAGTTGGCGTTTTCAACTGCAGGCAGCTGCCACACGAAGTTCCACAGTCCCCGAATTACGAGATCCGTGGGTATGCAACGTACTCTCGTTTCATAAGCCCTACAACCCATGTCATCCAATCCGAGCTAATGGCTGGCATGAACCTCTCACGTCTTTGCTTGGTTAAGGCTTAGTGGGCAGTGTTACATGCTGTAATCAGTTTTCGAAGTCCACGCTTGGCCATGGGTTTGCTTTCGATTCGGCTTGAACCACTGCGGTCACAAGCAAAAACGGGATGCGATCGCTGATTGTTCTCAAGTGGCTCTGTTCCGCTGCACATGCCAGCCGCAAATTTGCTCGCACAACTCGAAAGCGACAAGACAGACACAGTGGCAGTTGCAGTTGCAGTAGCAGTAGCAGTAGCAGTAGCAGCAGCAGCAGCAGCAGCAGCAGCAGCAGCAGTAGCAGTAGCAGTAGCAGTAGCAGTAGCAGTAGTAGTAGCAGTAGCAGTAGCAGTAGCAGTAGCAATAGCAGCAGCAGCAGCAGTAGTAGCAGTAGCAGTAGCAGTAGCACTAGCACTAGCAGTAGCAGTAGCAGCAGGAGTAGGGAGTAGTAGTAGTAGTAGTAGTAGTAGTAGTAGTAGTAGTAGTAGTAGTAGTAGTACTTCACTTCACTTCGATTCGCAGCAGAACGTCTGGTCTCTGCTGAGCGAGGGCACATGGTATTCATGTGGTAGCTGAGCTACATGACGATTTAGCGTCACCCACCCGGCTAAGCCGCTCCGAAGAGCCTACAAGCACTTAGCCGCAAACTGCTGACAGAAGGCTAAGCGCTAGGAGCAAACCTACTTCGAGACTCCGCAGGCCGCAGAAACACAAGGTACATATTTCTCAGTAACACAGCAGCTTCCCTAGCAGAAGGATGAGGAGCAACTACACCATCATCGGTGTACCACATTCGGCCAGAGTCTTCAACTAAGAGCGCTCGGTAGTGTCCAGAGTTGGGGTATCGCCAAGGTGGGTGAGGGCTGCACTCAGTCTGTACACGAGAGGCTGTAACGAACCTTCGACCCAAGTGGGGAGGCGAGCCTGAAGGGGCAGTGACACTGGGACCAAGAGCTTCTGCACAGTTCTGCCCACTACTCGGAAGCGGTTCAGCTGAAGAGCAGCACAGGCAGTACCTGAAGCGAGGGCAGGGTGAGGTTCAGAAGCGTGCCATTGGTCAATGACACTTGGCAGACTGCATTTACCTCCGGGGAGTCGGAGGCTTTCTATGTCTCCGCTAAGGATGAGAGGGCACACCCCTCCACAGTCACGCAATGTGCCTTCCCGAAGTGCTGCCCATGTACCCTGAAAGTGCCGCTACGCTCCGCGATGCCAGACAGAGTTTTTTTCTTGTTTCCAGATTCCAAGATGGTCCCACTGTCGGTGGCATGTTCCAGCAGACCTGGCTCTGAAACACCGGGCCGGCACCGAGAGACCCACTAAACCTCAAGACTTTCGAAACCATCAACCTACAGTGGCCAGACATGGCGCACCTGCTGTCTGCTCTCCTCTCTGGGTGGGCGCGACACTTCATGGAGGCGTGCCCCCCCCCCCCCCCCCCACACCGTGCAAAAACACGAACCCTGAATCAGTGTGGCATGTGTGTCAGTAGGTTGCATAGTAAAGCCGTGGATGCCCAATTCGCCTAGTGGATGATGATCCGGCCAGTTTGAAAAAGAATCCGACACTGATTGACATCATCAACATTTGCAATGAAAACTACAGTCAATGCCATCCACTCGCACATCTGGCTGGTAACAACTATCTTGGATCAGGTTTGGGTGCATCTCCGACACTCAGCTATGACATCAAGAGCAGGGGAACATCGACGTACCGCCAAACGAACGGACGCGACAGCCATTAGCCTCTTTCTACTTGTCCTCGTCCTCGTCCTGATCCCTCCTGGTCGTCGTGTCGTCGTGGTCGTCGGCGCTGTCATCCAGATCGATGCAACCGTACTCCTCCTCATCTCCCTTTCCTCTGCCTCCTCTGCCTCCTCCTCCTCCTCCTACGCACTCTCACTGCGTCGTCAGACCTTGCTACATGCAAATGCTCGCGATTCCTAAGGCCCGAAACAGCAAAGTCTGCCAGGCCGACCATCCGCGGCAGAACTCCTATGAGCAGGGCATGTTTCAAACTCGATCCCGACCGGGTTTCAGCGGTCCTGCCGAAAAAAGCTGAAGCACGACATGGCTCTTAAGGCTCGAGATACGGCACCCTGGGCTTCCATCCTGCGAAACCGTGGAACTTGCAAGCTTCCCGGGTGTCGCGAAGATGATTGGTGTGTGGGTTGGGTGCATAAACTTTTCCCTTAATTACGAGTGCCGGCTGGTAGATACAATACTATGCCGCATTAGAATCAACTGTCGTGATCCAAGATTGGCCTTGCACCGTCAAGCAGCGATCGAGGCTTCATTGAAGGCAACTTTGTTGGGGTTTCGGGCTTGGGCGTTCTGGGTTTCGACTTCGGATTTGAGGGTTTAGGTTGTTGGTCTTGTCGCTGTGTGATTGGATGTCTCAACTGGTTGCTCGAAACCTTTTCGCAAGCTCTGACCTTCACAGAAAACAAGCTGCGGTTGAGATCATAGGTAGCCGGTGCATCCATGACATCTAGACCCGTGACACTGTTAGCGAACAGGTCATGTGGACCATAATGAAACTCCGATTTCGAGCTGTTAAGAACTATTCTCCAATGGTCTCTTCTTTCCAAAGCGCCATACTTCACTTATGGCAAGCATGGACTGTTGGGGCTCCATGGTTTCAGGATTCCGACCACTTAACACAATTCAGCACCAAGCAAACAAGTCGTAGCTGATCCCTGCCACAAACCCGAACTTCGAGATGGCGAGCATTTCACGACCTTTCTTTGGCCAGCGTCCAAGCCTATACAGTCTGGTTTCCTGCACGACTGCTCTTCACTGGAGCCCGGCACCGGCCTGTACTTCGGCTGTCACAACCGTAAAGCCAACAAGCTCCAAACCGGAAACCTCCCTCGGATTCGCATGGGAGCGCTGAACGAAAGCTAGAATCTGAACTGGTTAGGGATGAGGGCTTTAGGATTCCAGTTTGGGGTCAGGGCCTAGCCAAGCAGCCAGATTGTTTTCGGCGCACATCCCATACCGATGTAACTGCCGCTAGGCTCCAGCATGTGATTTCAGGATGCGATGTTTTCAAGCCTCTCTTCGACAAAGGGTCCGCGTGCAAGGCACTCAAACAAAGCATAAAGTAAGTGCTGTAGGGGCACAGTATATACCATAAGTAAACCCTAAACAACAAACAAACCCTTAACATTAATACTATCTACGATGTGCCTGGACAAACGGAGCCCTTTGAGCACATCTCCACACGAGGCGACACGGTCGGACTCGAATTCCATGCACAGCTCTGCAGGCGCATGTGTGTTGCCGACTAGGGCGTTTGGGGTATGTCATGCCAGTATCACGTAAAGGAACCCTTAGGCCTTAGTAGCGGTACTGGTACTATTCAGGAGACTTCTGTCACTGTCGCAATACCAGGCTGGACTGCAGTGACCGCCCTTTGAGCGCACGGAGGGCTGCACGGCACATTGTATCACAGACCCGTCGAGGGACGCACAACTTCGGGGCGTAGAGGATTGCTTCACTATGGTCTGTTTTTGCAGAGGAAGACCTGCAGCGTACGAACACAGCAAAATGATAGTCATGATAGCAACATCAATACGGCTTGAGATGCGGGGTGCAAGGAACTCAAATCCCTAACCGTACACCCTAACCCTATTTGTACATTTAAGGCTGTAGAGCATCACGGCGTTCGGCAGCAAGGCTCTCTCGCACAAGCAATTTCTGGCATCGCCATGCCGCACATGACTCACACCTGCCTTGCGGTGCAGCGCCATTCTCGTGCCTGCAAGTGCGATCCACGCTGTACACTGTACAGTAAAACCCTCCACCCTTCAGCGCAGCGCTTCAAGTCCGTAGCATGCAAGATCTCCAGCCCATGAGCACAATTCCCGGCCAGAGCCCTCATCAGCCCTCAATCCCGAAGCTCCAAAGCTTCGGCTCCTGGATCACTCTCCTTAATACTACCATTCAAACCTTCGGCTCCTGGATCACTCTCCTTAATACTACCATTCAAACCGTCTTTCATGGCCTGATCTCAAAACCCAAGCCCCACCACTGGCCTGGGTGTCCACTACTTGCACCAGCTGCACCGGTGAGCTTGCAGATCTGCGGCCAAGACGTTTGAGCTTCTTGGGTTCAAGCTCGAACCGTGAATCCTAATTGATTTTGGGCTCTGGGGTTGGAGGGGTTCAAGTTCTTTGGGTGTGAGCGCAGAAGTGAGACGCATAGACCCCTGCCCCAAGCCCCAGACTCGAACCGCAAACCCCAGACCCTAAACCTTGAAGTTCAACCGAGCCCAAAGCCCAAAACACCACATGCTGTTGCTGGGTGTCTTCCCCCAGCTCACGGAATTGAACCGGAAAACAACCCATTCCACCTGCCCCGCCCGCGCACAACATGTTCCCGAAACTGTCCTAGAAAAACAAGTCATTCCACCCGCTTGGGGAAAACGCTTCATTCCAGCACTTCCGCTGCACAAGGCGAACTAAAGTAACAAAGATCAAACATCACCCAGAAAACAACTCAACGCACCCGCCTTGCCCTGCGAGGTCTGCCACTGGTCTGCCAGCGAATTCTCCCACCGTTACAAGTCAGGGAGCATCTCCGTTCTAGCATGTCGGAAAGACAACTCGTTCCACCGCCTGCCCTCACTCCCGCACATGCTGTTGCTGGGTGTCTTCCCCCAGCTCACGGAATTGAACCGGAAAACAACCCATTCCACCTGCCCCGCCCGCGC